TTACATTGATTTCTTTTATAAAGTTTCAAACTTTCAATGTCGTAATTTAATTGCCCATTATTTAATAAAGTGTAAGAATGTATAGGAAAAATTATAGATAAATCAAGTCACTATCTCAAAAAGTAATCAACATTGTTATATAAAATCTTTATGATGTTATTAATCAGTGTTAATTTAATGCAATTTTAATTATTAGGACACGATAGTATTCATTTATAATTAATACATAAGCATATTTATCATAATAATTTTTTTTTTGGTTTTATTAAGGAAGATGTTAGATTCTGTGAAAAAAAAGAAGACGATGTCATATAAACTTATTGTATGCTTAATTTACTTCTATTTTTATATTTATATATTATGTTTCTTTATTGTATATATTTAAATTTATTTAATTATCATTAATATAGTTATCTTTTTTAATTATATTTTTAATTTGTTATTTTACAGATTAACAATTAAGTTATAAATTTTAATAATTTTACATACTTATTATTATAATCTAACTCCACCATAAATTTAAAAAAATTGCAAATATATTTTTTTATTCATACCATCATTAAGAAAATTGACTTTAAATTATTTTAATTTTTTAACCCATTGTTATTAAGTTATTTAAATATCACTACTTCGGTAAGGATTATTGCTTTTTTTTTTTTATTTATAAAAAGAACTTAAATATCAATGTTTTGAACATGTTTTTGTTTATTTTGAATTATTTACTTTTTCATAGATAACAAACTATATTTAAATATTACACTTGGTGTACATATATTAAACTGTTTTCGCCATCTCATATTAAATTTATATTTTACTTCTATTTAAATCACATAGCTAGTTGGATAACATAGATTTTTAAAATAAAATAAAATAAATTATTTTAATAAAAATTATATTGTAGATTTAATTAATTGGATTTATAATATAAATAAATAATTTATTTAAATAAAATAAAATAAAAAGGGTGTGGATGAGAAGAGTTCAGTTAGACTCTAAGCTAAATCAGAAGGCTTATTAAAAATTGGAAAATAAGGGTTAAGTGTTTTTGTTTACACATTTTTTGAAATCCTAAGAACACCTCTGGAGAATAACCTAGAGGAGGTCACTAGAGAGAGTACAAATAGTGGCTAAGGTTACGGAGAACATGTCTATGCTTTAGTCACTTGAGTTAAGGGGGAGTCAGAAGTTGAATTTGCGAGCATGTATAAGGAGTAAGGGTAGTTAGGTGATTCCTAAGTCTCTTAGGTTTTTTATTAAAATTCTATAGATGTTTATGAGTGAATTTTGATGTTGAACTATGATTTTACCTTGTGATTTTGTGCATGAATGGATGAACTTGAAAGTATGTCCACCTAGTGAGACTGTGGGAAGTTGACTCGACATGTATTCTTGAACTGCTCTACGTGTATGGCTAGTGACAATACACAAGTGTAATGTATTTACTATCATCACATGTCCATTACATAAGGCATTATAATGTATTGTTATTGATTTTCGTGCTATGAATGAACCAAGTGTGAGGATGATGATGATCTATATATGTTATATCTTGTGGTATGTTGTTTGTTTATGGCTATTTGGTTGCATTCTTGCACTACAAGTCAAAGTGAGATGCTTCTTACTCCTTTGCTTTTGTTGTTGTTGCTCTTGTGGTTTATGCTGGTGATCATCAACTTGATGTTGGAGATGTTGATGATGAGACTTAGCTTTCATGTTATATTACTCTAATAGGACATGTGATATCAAGGTGTAGTTAGGACTAGATTAGTGATTTTTTCATGTTGTTTAGTTGGAGGACTATGGTTTTGATTTCTTTGTATTTCATTTATTTTCATTATATTTTAGAGTTATGTTACAATGTGATTCTCTCTACTGTATGAATTTTAATTCTTTATGTTATGAGATATTTTAATTTATTTTCTTTGATTATGCATTATGGTATGCACGGTAGAGGATGTCACAATATTTTTTTAATTAATTCTTTAATCAAGTATATTGTAGAAAATATGTGTTTAATGTTATGGTTTATTTTATTTATTTATGATGTTTTTAAAATAAAAGGGGAAGGAGTTGGTTTTATAAAATGGGAAGGAGTTGGTTTTCTCACATACACTTACACTCTCTCAATGCATGAAGAACTTGGAGAACCTAGTATTGGAGATCACCATGGTATTTTGAACCCTTCATCTACCATTTTTCAAGGTAAGAGAGAGTGAATATTCTCACTTTGGGATATGTGTTATATGCTAGGTAGAGAGATTAACCTTCAATCTCTTATTTGTTCATGTATATTGTGAGGGAGAAATCCCAATTATGATTTATAAACTTTGAATTTATGTTTCCTACTCTTCTTATGTTTATTATATGTGATGTTTGAATTATGTGTAATTAATTTTGTATAATTTGAATTGTGTGTAAATATGTGAGTACTTACAATTCTTGTAGCAACTCTTAAAGTATAGAGTAAAATGAGTTAATAAGATTGACAATATTTTGATATAAGGATGCTTAAATGGTATAATTGTGTAGAATTAGGATTTAATTGTGATTTTTACCAATTTGTTTAGAGTTTTAGGATTTGAATTTCATAATGTGTAATTTTGGAACATTTTGCAAGATTTTCGTGAACTAGTGTCACGTTGGGGGCAAATTTATGGCACCGAGCATGATAATTTGTAGTTCTCTCTGTTCCTTTAGCGTCAGGTGCAAAATGGGCCTCTTTGAGTAACATTTGATGTCATTTCTATGTAATATTCACACAAAACGTGATCTCAACCATGTCGGGTGCTGGTGTTATAGAGAGGGTCCTACCATTATGTGTCAAGCATGATAAAGTTTGAATTAGGTTTTGTGATATTCATAAGAATTGTATTCCTATATGTTAGCTTTAAAATGATATTAGAATCACAAAAAAAAGGTATAAACTTCAAGTTATGATCAAGTTAGTGAGTGAAGGTCAAACTATCAAATTTAGGTTGAAATGCTACAATTTTGTAATGTTTAAAATAGTAGATTGCAAAATCAACTCTTAAGTTCAACATAGAAATTGTAAATAATAAATTATAAATTTTTCCTTCAATTTCAAGATTACAACATAAAATAATAAATTATAAATTATTAAAAGTCTTTCTTTTAAAATTAAAATTACTATTAATAAGTCTCTCAATAAAAAAAAGATTATAGTAGTCCTATATATAGAACTACATGACAAGACTACACCATAATAAAAAGTGACACACCACAAGTTATAAAATAAATAAAAATAACATTTAGTTAAGTGGAATGATGGACCAACTCATCCCAACCTGTCATTTGAAATGGTAAACTAGTGAGTTAGACAACACAAGCTAAAGTGTCCCTCCGTCCTGCCATATTTTTTGTGGGCTAGTGGGCTGACCTATGGGTTACCGCCCCCTTTGCCACCCTATAAATAATAGACATTTAGTATAATACACATACAAAATACTAGTAATTAATGCACATGTTAAAATACAGTTTATATTAGTATTTTAGCATGTGCATTGTGCATGTATGTCTATTATATATAAATAAAGTTTATAATAAATTATACAAATAAATAAATACCACATATTTTAATATTTTAATTTGATTATTTAAAATTTATATAAATAAATATTTTTAAATGTATGAATTATATTTTATAGTTGTGAAAAATAATTTGTATTGTGGTATAAGATAATTTTTAATTATTGATGATTTATTTTAAAATCACTAAACTTAATATTTAAACATATAGGATAAATACAAATTTATGAAGTTAAAAAAAAACTCTATAAGAACACTCTCATTAAAGAAAAAACTTTATCTTTAAAGAGAAGTCCTTGAAAACGTTTTATGTAAGATATTTGTTTGTATTTAATATTATTGAAGTTCAATTGTGAAAAATAATTTATATTGTGGTATAAGATAATTTTTAATTATTGACTGTAACGACCCGACAGGCCGCTACAATTCAACCACAGCATACCGGAAACACTAGACAGAATAGAACGAGTATATAAATATAGAGTCTAGAATATAAATATATACATATGTCCCGAGTCCGACTAGAGTTAGGGCATGCAAAACAAGAATTTCATCAGAAGTCACTATGCCAAGTGACTAAAGCAAACAAAACATCCATAGAAGTCAGCTCCATCTATCAGCTGCTGACTCATCGTTGTCCACCTTCTATCCCTGCTCTGCTCCCGTACATAGTACAATCATAGCAGTCCAACCACATGGAAACACAAAGGGTAAGCTAGCATAAAGAAACAACATATTGAAAGATTTTTAAGAAAAATAGAAACAAACACGACTATGTACACTTCATCAACATATGTTCCATCAGTTTTCAATATTATCGTCAATAAGAATGCAATGCGTCGTCACGCATATCAACTCGGAGATCTCCTACAACAACTCAGCCTTTCGGCCTACAACAACTCAGCCTTGCGGCCTACAACAACTCAGCCTTGCGGCCTACAACAACTCAGCCTTGCGGCCTACATCAACTCACATCAACATTCCAACACAACACAACTTATACAACTCAACATATCAACTTGCAACTCAACACAATTGTACATCTATACAACTCAACACATCAGCTTCACAGCTCAACATATCATCTACAACACAACACCACTTCTCAACACATTCACCAGATACATTTCAATATCAACAACAACATTATCTATTAGACATCATTTCATAACCTTCCATTTCAATTCAACTGAACATAAAACATTACAACAATCTCATCTCTGCGCCCGGCGCATACGTGGTTGTGCCCAGCGCAGTACAACTAGAGAGCACCAGGGGGTCAGCGCGCCCAGCGCAGGTGTGCCCGCGCCCAGCAGGACTCAACCAGAGAACCCAAGACTATCTCGCGCTTAGC